CTTTCAGTCAGGTTTCCCTATGAGTTTAGAAAACCTCAGCCATGACTTCTTCATTTGCTTCTCACAGACTTATCCCAGAATAACCACTAGTTAGTTAACAGGGTGGGGCAAGTTCTGGAAGCCAGGGTCTCTACAGCTTGCTATATTTCACCAAGAAGTGCACAAAATAGAGGAAAAACTCCTTTTTCACATTGTATAAAGATAGGTGATTTCTCAGCCCTTCAAAACCACTTTAATTGGGGACGGGGAGGGGAGAGAGAGAGACAGAGAGAGCAAGAGAGAGAGAACATGTCTAAGCCTCCATGTTGGGTGGGGGAGGTCAGGAAAGGACCCCACCCCTACCCCCAGACTTCTGAAGTTGTAGAGGGAAGTCATTGTTAAGTGTACGGTTGAATTCATTCAGCATCCCATTACCTTTCACCCCAACCTCTGTATCAGAAACATTTGGATACAGCTGAGACAGGCCATTTCTGTCTGACCTGCCAAATCATTTTGGGATCCCTTCTCCTGCCAGCCACTGGTTTCCCCCACTATCCCCTGTTTTCAGTGGAGACAAGCTACATTTTGCTAAAAGGGATGCTGGACATCATCTAGTTCAACCCCCTCATTTTACAGATGAGGAAACTGAGTCCTAGTATGATTAGTGATTAGCCAATGGGCACACAGACATTCTTACTTCAGATTCAGTCTTTTCATTACGCCACTCTGCCTCACAAGAATTTATTCAACCCTATGTACTTATGCCTGTGCTGGGGAAGGGGCAGGAGATTGGAGATCCCTACCCTCCACAAGCTTGCAATCCCTCCAGGCAACAGGTTGATCCTTGACCCTCATCCCCACCTATAATTTGAGCAGAAGGTACATCTTTCTTCCCAGGGCAATGCCCAACCCCCAGTAGTGGGTGGAAAAAGCTGGAAAACTGACAGCATTGTCTGACTCTAAGGATCATGACAGGGACACCTTTAGTGTGGCCTCCTCTCAGGCATTTCATCTATTCTGACATTTCTGCCCTGATGCAATTTTGTATTCCTTCTTTTATATCCTTTATTTTATATTCCTACTTCTTCTATTCCTTCTTTTATATTCCTTCTTTTTTATAGCTACAAATTCAGCCACTAGAAGACTTGATTTCTGGTTCCAGGTCTATTATGGACTCAGTTGAATTCACCCTTAGACAAGTCACGACATTTCTCAAGAGGAGCCTTAATTTCCTTTTCTATAAAATGAAGCTGATTTTCATTTAAATGGGGTTATTGCACCTTTAGCCTCCTTGAATTTTGAATATCAACTGAGATAATGGATGGAACATTGCTTAGAAAAGAATGCTAAAAATGCAGATTCATAAGATCTCAACTGAAGAACTAAAGCCATCTAGTCCAATCCCCTCATTTTATAGATGAAGGGAAACTGAGGCCTGGGGAGGTTAAGTGACTTTGCCCAGAAAAGCACAAAGGTCATTAGTGTCAGAACAGGGATTTTCATTATTTTAGGGGTATCCTTTGAATAGGCATCTGCCCTTTCCCACTTCTGTTCTAAAGAAAGGGGGCCTGGGGCAACTAGGTGGTGCAGTAGATAGAGCACCAGCCTTGGAGTCAGGAGGACCCAAGCTCAAATCTGACCTCAGACACATAACACTCACTAGCTGTGTGACTCTGGGCAAGTCACTTAGCCCCAATTGCCTCACCAAAAAAAAAAAGGTGGAGAGGCCTCCAAGTGAAGTCTGAATTATTTAATTGGGACATGGACAGTGTAAATTAGAAGTACTAGTTAAAGATATGTAGCAGGCAATACTTGCAAGTCTCCTTGTTTACATTTGGTAGGCACTCAGTAAATGAATGAACGAATGAACGCAATCCAATATAAAGAACTGTAGTACAACAAAAATGATACTGGAGTTGTTGCTGTCTGGGGGTGCTGGGAACCCTGAAATACAAGGGTACAGGGTAAGAGTTTGCCTTGAAAGAATTTGACCACTCAAGCCTTCTTTCAGTCCAAGTAATGAGTTTATTAAGACACCAGTTGGGTGGGCACGATTTCTAGTAAACCTGCAGTATTTGTGGCAGGCCAGATTTTAAGAATATGCGAATTTGATGAGGGTGGGACTGATATTTAATACGATAGCCTGAGGTGGTCCAGAGGTAACAGAGAAAGGGGCCTAGACTGGATTAAGAAGTGTCAAGTAAGCTAATTAAGTAATCGGGGTGGGCTGGCATGGGCCAGATGCCTCAGGTGAATGCCAGGGACTGAGCCTGTGGGAAAGTCCAGGGCCTTTAGGGGTCCATCATTAGTGCCCCATCAGAGTCATGACCTAGGTTCACCTCTGCTACTATTGTATGATTCTGGGCAAGTCATTTAACCTTTATCAGCCTCAGTTTTCTGTCTATACAATAAGGGGGTTGGATTAGATTGACTATGAAGGTCCCTTCCCCATTCTAAATCTATGAACCTAATCTTTTGCCTGATAATAGGCCATGTACTATAGTTTACACTATTGTATCCTAGTGCAAAAGGCTCCTTGGTCTTTGAAAATCAGTTGTATGTAGCCCATATAAGACAAAATGGTAGCAGATTGAGATCCAAGGCCAATATTCAGCCTAGCTCTTAAATAATCTTCCCTAGTGAATCTATTTTATATAACACCTCACCCAGGAAGACATATTGGGTTCTAGGCCTACACTCAGTTCCTCATCAATTTCACCATCAGGAAAGTTAAATTAGGACACAGTTGAAGGAAGCTAGTGATCGAGCACTGAGCCAAAACCAGGCCTTGGCCTGCACACACCAGCTGCTTCCTTTCCCAGCTCTTCTGAATGCTGGCTTCAGCATCCCCCCAAAATTTTCACTTTCCCAAATTTCCTATCCTCTGCAATGATTCCTCCATTGTGCAAATTCTTGTCTTAGCCAACCTACAGGGGACTTGAGAGATACCTCGTTAAGATGAATTCCAGGGCTGTCTTCAAAGTGAACACAAGTTACAACTCGTCAGACAATTAAGGGACTGCATCTTACTCTGTAAACTCTGAGAAATTATTCCTTTTTAATTTCCAGAGACCACAGAACACGCTATAAACTGTAAAAACCTAATGAGAAAATTTGACAAATAATGTCTCCTCCTGCAAACATGTTTTAATAGGTTGACTGTTATGTTGGTCAGTTAAAAAAAAAACTGTTTAGAAATGAGTCATTTCAGAATTCTATCTCACCAGTAAGCTTCTTCCCTGGACTTACCTTGAGAAAGCAATTTCAACAGTCAGAAGAGTGGATGATGATGCTTTTAGATCCAGTGGGAATGGGTTCAGTTTTGGTTTGGATAAAGTAGTTTCCAGGCCAGCCTGGAGTCGTAGTATTCAAGGGCCTAGGATTAGAGGTCCACTTTTTGCATGCTTTAACCTTCAACTTCCTGTAATTTGAGGGGCTTAATTAGGAGTCAATAGAGACAGGAGGGACCTAGCATTTCATGGGTAGAGAGAACTACCATCTGAAGGTAAGACAACAAATCTTCCCTACAACTTAAGAGATCTAAAAAGAGTAGCCCAGAATCTAGGACCTAGGCCACTGAAAGGTTGTCATTGGCCCAGGGTCACAAAATCACCAGGTATCAAAGGCAAGACTCAAACCCAGGTTCTTCTGGCTCTCTATCCAATGTGCCAAGTTGCATCTTAGGAAGAGGCTCTTTATTTTTGCTAATTACTGAGGGATAGGTATTTCAGAACCATACCCACACTAGACACTTGCACACACACCTCCTAACTCAAAATGAAGCAGACTAAGTTAATTAGATCTTGATTCCCTACCCAATAATAAAAAAGATGCTATTCATTAATGAAATAAACCTCTCCCCAACCTGTCCTGCATCTTTCTCCTCCCTCTCTGGCCTCAGAATATATTACTGAACACTGCAAGGGCTGGTGGGCTAGGCCTCTTCCCATCAATACTTCAAGACATCATCCTCCTGACTTCATAAGGATCCAACAGTCCACTAGGTCCCCAAATAAAACCAAGCTTGTGTGCATCTAAAGATAAAATACCAAAATGTGGCTTCTTCCACCGTGCTTGATTTTCGAGGAAAATGCTGAGCTGAAGATGGATGAGTATCAGAAAAAGGCATGCAACTTCAGAATCTGTGTGCGTGTGTGCATCTCGTGAGCATGTGTAACTTCCTCCGCCTGGTAAATAAACTGACATCTTTTTACCTTCATCACACTCCTTTCTCCTTCGGGGGACCTCCGTTCGTCCCGCTCCGCTGTCCGATTCGCTGGCTCCCTCTGCCTGTGCAGCTCGCAAATGAAATCGACACCAGAGGGTTTTCCCGCAGCTCTTGGACCCTTGTCCCTTCTGCATCCAGGGATTTGACACCCCGAGTAGCTGGGCAGCGGCCAATCTTCTGGCCATTTCCAACCTAGGGGTCGTGGTCCCCGGGGGTCTGGCAGAGAGGGGCAGCTGCGGGGGGGGGGTCTCTTCTCCCTCCTCCGGGCCCGGCCCCACCCCCTAAAAGATCTCTACTTTCGTTCCTTCCTTCCCCGCCAGCCGCCAGTCTGGGGGGTGACCCCGCCCCCCAAAGGCTAACCGCGCTCCCTCCGCCCCCGGCTCCCACCCCCACGTGGGTCGCAGCCCAATAAGCAGCCCCACTCCCAGCACGGTGGTAGCGTCACGGGTGCACCATTGTTATGCAAATATAAGCAGCCTAAAAGGCGCCGAGGTTGCATCTCCGCGACAGAGCCGAGCAGAGGCCGCGTGGGGCTGTATTTGAATCTGACCCGACAGGACATGCACCCCGCGTTGTAATAAGGAGGTCCCCTTCCCCCCACAGCCTGCCCCCACCTTCCCAGCCCTACTAGTCTTCTCCCGGCCGAGCGAAGCCCAGCAGCAGCCCCCTCGCTCGGCCCCCGGCGCGGCTGGATGCAGCGGCGGGTCCCCGTGGCGGCAGGAGGCGGCTTCCCCCCGGGCGCGAGCCGGCTGGGAGCCCAGCCCCCGCCCTCGAACGCAGGGGCCCGGGCAGCGCCGGCCGGTGCCGGGGGCCCGTGTCCAGGACGGCAGCGCTGAGTGGCCGGGTTCTTCCATGCGCCCCTGCATCCCGCGAGGGAGACAGGGGCCGAAGCCGAAGCCCTAAAGCTTCGGGGCCACGACCACCACCGACGCCGCTGCCACTCGCCGAAACAAGAGCAGCGACAGCAGCCGCAAGGTCGAGAAGCGCGAGCCGCCTGAGCGAGCTCCCGACCCTGGAGACTTGCTGGGGCCGCGCCCAGCCCGCGCGCTCCGGAGCTGAGGAGGGCCCCGCCGCAGCCGCCGCGCTCTTCCCAGTCCCAGGCCACAGGGCCGGGCCTGGCAGCATGAGCCAGGCGGAGCTGTCCACCTGCTCGGCCCCTCAGAGCCAGCGAATCTTCCAGGAGGCGGTGCGCAAGGGAAACACGAAGGAGCTGCAGTCGCTGCTACAGAACATGACGAACTGCGAGTTCAACGTGAACTCGTTCGGGCCCGAGGGCCAGACGGCGCTGCACCAGTCGGTCATCGACGGTAACTTGGAGCTGGTGAAGCTGCTGGTCAAGTTCGGCGCCGACATCCGCCTGGCCAATCGCGACGGCTGGAGCGCGCTGCACATCGCCGCCTTCGGGGGTCACCAGGACATCGTGTTATACCTCATCACCAAGGCCAAGTACTCGGCCAGTGGCCGGTGATGGCCGGCGCCGCCCGGCCGGGGGCAGAACCGGAGGAGGCGCCGCACACTGCACTCTGCACCCGCCTGGGCGCCTTTCCGCAACTCCTCTGCGCCCTCCTTCCCTCGCACGACTAGGCTCCGGGAGGGCGCAGGCACACTGGGAGCAGGGGACAGCAGAGCAGGAGGCCCGCGGGCCACATCCGTTAAGCCAAGCGCCCGGAGACCTCCCCGGGGGTCCGGGTCACGGAGCAGGCTGCGGCTCAGCGAAGAGTGTTCTGTGTGTGTGAGTGTGTGTGTGCGTGCGCGTGCATGAGTGTGTGCGCGCAAGAGACATGGGGGAGGGGGGAGGGATTTCTCTGTGTTTGTTTTTTTGTTTTTGTTTTTTTTTGTAAAAAAAAAATCCTAATATTTTCATTTTAAACATCAAAAGCTGCTTGGACTCCTTTTTCTCCTGTCCCAAGACGCCCTCCCCACTCCCTACCCATCCCCCTTGGTGACTGACCCGTGATTGCGTCTGGAGCCCTCTCCTCGGTGTGTCTGGGGCTGGACTCTGGTTTTGTTTTCTACTGTAAAATTGTCTGCCATCTACCTCGGCTGTGCTAGCACAGGAGTATTTGCCGTTTCAGTTAGAAATCTGGTCAGATGCTTTAAAAATGGACTTTCCCCTCGGCCTCCTCGGAACACGCCGTCTGCTACCGCGAGTGGCCCCCTCTCCCACCACCCACCCGCTCTTCTCGCTCTCCAGACTCGCTAGGGGAGGCTCCGGCCAGCCAGCCCCGGATGTTGTCCTTTTTTATGAAGTATTCTGGCACAGAGATTGATCCCATTTCCACACTTAACCGTTCCTGTCGCTGTTATCTGGGTTTCATATTTTTTCTTCCTTAAAAAAAAGTAAAAGAAAAACAAAAATCCTTCCTAGGATCTAAAATCGAGACAGGATTTTGCATCTTTTGCTTACGTCCACGGGGCGGGTGGCTTCCACCTGGAAGATCTTTTTTTTCCCACGGTTTAAAACTTAAGACCAAGAACTTTCCTTGATTGTAGTATGTTTGGAGGGCTAGGGCTCCCTCTATCCATCATCAGCATACAAATCTTTGGGATCTCTGGTTCTGGATCTAATTTGTTGGGGTGGGGAGATTGGACGTTATCTTTAGGAGTAGGTCGTAAAATCCACCCCCTTCCCCCTTCTCCCTGTGCACCTGAATTTAGCAAGAAAGCACAGAAGCGATGTCAGGCCCTCCTTAAAAAAAAAAAAATTAAAATGTATTCCGAGGGAAAAAAGTCCATTGGGGTTTAGTAAGTCCTGGACTGAATTCAGGGTTAGGAAAACGGGGGAAGGAGCCTGGAAGGAAGAAGTGGGCCCGACTTTGAAGGCAGGAGGAGGAGACGAGACGCGCACTCAGCAAAGAACGCGCTCCCCCTGCCGCCCATGCTCTCGCAAACAGCTTGGAAACCCTGAGCGAATGAATGGGTTTCTCCATCTGGTGACTTGGGATCGCTCTTCTTTGACGCTGAAACAGGAGGAAAGAAGAAACCACCTTCCGTCGTTTTGGGAAAGTGGCTTGCACGTCCAATTGGCAATGCTGCTCTTAACTGCCCTGGCACAAGGACAGCAGGGAGGCAGAAATTCAAACTGGGGCCCCCTGCCGTGTGTGTGTATGTGTGTGTGTGTGTGTGTGTGTGTGTGTGTGTGTGTTCACCCCGAGTGTCTGCACTAAGAGAAGAGATAGATCACTGCCATCTCCTTGCTATATAAACCTTTTCTTTCTCTCTCCCCCGACCCTGACTACTCCTTTGGCCCTAACAATGACGATTAAAGGAACAAAATAGTTATGTACTGGGGGTTGGGGGGGAGGTGTTAAAATTGTTATAAACTATTTATCTTGTATGTTGTATATTTGTGGGTGAGGTTTGTGAGCCTACTTTTTGTTTGGAAATATTGTGAGTGGTCAATGTGGTTTGTGGGAAAAATATGCATTTTTTTCTAGTCTTAAACTAAAAACTTGAGTCTGCCGGTTTTTCTCATTGCACTGAACACTGCTTTGGCTAATGGCTTTCACGGGCAGTTTTCTCTTTGGAAAACTTTGGCTATAATGAAAAAAGCTCCAGGTTTAAAAAAAAAAAACAAAACCTTTGGGAAGCATCTCTCATTTAATGCTGTAATTTGCCAGAACTTTTTTTGGTTTGCAGACTTTCTGTTTGAGCAATGGAGACAATTCCAGCATTTGGGTGCTTCTCCTTTGTAATGATGAGGGGGGAACAATACGTTTTCTAGTGAGTTTTATTATAGTTACCAGATGGTTGCACATTTTTAAAAGATAAATGAATTTGCCACAATTAAATGTCATAACATTTATGACATAATATAAAATATTAACATATGTTAAGCCAAGTTCTAGATGATTTTTTTAAAAAGAAATCTTGGTTATAAACCCAGTTCTTAAGGGATTTGTGTCCAGTGTTGTGAAGACAACATGTTAACCCATATTTATATTTTTATAAAATACCTATAAGACTGTGAATCTCTTGTGTTAATTGCTGAGTGAGTTTTAAGAAAAGTATTGTTCCTCTTCAGCCTCCTGGAGCTTTGTAGACCTGATTAGAAATGGAAAATTAGACCTTGGGAAGGGGGGAGGGGGGGTTGCTCTGAAAATGTGTGAGCTGATGTATTTTTTTTTGCATCACTTCTGTCCTGAAAAGCTGCTGCCCTTCCTAGTCCCTATAGTTTCAATTTTCTATGCAACCCCACACCCCATATTGTTTTGATTCTGAGAAATAAAAGGGATGGTGAATAATTCAAATTTAAATGAGATTTCCCCTTTATTTGGCGTATAGTGCTGCTTGACCCTTCATGCCAAAATGAGGGGGAGAAGAGAAGAGACAGGTGGAGGGAGGCTTTTGTGTGTGTGCATGACTGGTCATCTTTGGCAGTCATCCCTGGTGATTTTATTTTGGAAGAAGATAATGTCAGTGAGTTAAGCAGACATTGAAAGCTGATGCACAGATTGCTCCAGAAAGGAGTTTTTCTGTAGACTTTTTTTTCTAGATGCAAATACCTTTTTAATTATGTTAATTAATGTTAAGAATTTTAGGCTTATATTGAAGCTGTATATGGGTCACTATATGATCATTTCTAACTGGATGAAGTCTGTACAGCACAGCATCTTCCTGAGTGTATGATATAGACTGGTAGTCCCAGAGTGAAAAATTTATAAATAAATTTTTCATTGATCTTTTTATAAAAAAAAAAAAGTTTGGCCTTTTTTTGGGGGAGGGGTGTTCCTTCTCCCCCAATATTGTCTGATTTGAAACCTTAAAATGGGACCTTACCTGCAGGGAACAGAGAGGGTGGGTAGATTGGAATAACAAACTACAAAGGTGCTATTTCCATATATTAAAGAGATTATTTGAAAATCAATACTTCTTTTGAGCAACATATGTTCATATAATATTTGTGTGTGGGAAAAATATATGCACATACAAATATATATACATATGTTTGTGTACACACACAAACATGTATTTGAAGAGGAACCAAATGACCTTGACATCAAGGGTAACTTGCCCAACACAAAGAACTCATAAGATTTTCCAAACAACTAGAGAAGTCTTAGGGCTAAGTCCTTGTGTAGCTGTCTCTCAGTTTGCACCACAAATTATGCTTATTGTTTATTCTGCATACAATCTTCTGCCTTTTAAAAATCCCCTGGGCAAGCCTGGTTTATTGTAAGAGGTGCCTTACAGCAAGCACATGTTATATTAATCTACTTTTCTTAGGGCTTTACACATTCTTAGAATCTTCCAACCATGGCGCTCGAGGCTACCTTACCCTGTAGTTCACTGACTCCCTCCAAGCTCAGTGGCCTCAAGGGGAAAAAAAGTAAGCAGTGTACACTTGTATAGAGGAAGTACATAAAAGTGGGATTTGCGTTTTAATAGAAAACAGAAAAAGGCTCAGAGACTCAGGGCTGACATGAAGGGTTTTAGCTAGTCTGGTAAGACCCTAAACATCTGGGAAATTGTCTGCATATTGAAGACAGCCACTCACCCAGTTATAATTGAACCAGGAAGATCCCTAGCCACAAAATGAACTTCGAAGATCTACCATCAAAATGATTTTCAAATTGATCCCAGAAGCTGATTGTGGAGGGGAGAGCAGGAAGACAATATTCTCTTGCAGGTAGACCAGTGAGAGGACTATGTATATGTGAGCCTGTGGTTAATCCAGAGTAGACTTAGGGCGGCAGGCTCTGCCAAAGAGTCCCTTTCCTGGCTACCCTGGGAACAAGGTGAACGTGTAAATCTGAAACAGGACTCCAAGAGAGGACTTGGCCTTAATCGTGTCACATCTTATATTTATATATACTCCATCCCTGAAGCTTTACCTAGATAAAGAGGAGTCACTACACCAGGAAATAAAAGTCAATGACACTCAAGCTCCAGTATTGTGACCAGTTTAAAGAAACAGTTTAGTTTTTCTGGGTAATTTACAAATTCTGATATAATCATTTTTAAGAGCTTTATATTATTTGATGCTCTGACATACCTATTATTTGTCAGTTGTTTTTTTTTTCAGAAGTTCCTAAGTTGTAAGTAACAAAAGCTGCCCTTTACAACTAGGATCCAAGTCTTTTTACCCAGAGCTGGAATTTCACTGAATATTTCCAGAATTCCAGGCCATGTTCCTGTCAGTCACCATTGCTCTCTTTATGCTGTTCTTTTAGAATCAAGTGTAAAATGTAGTATCCTTTTACATGGTTTTCTTTATTTGTCTGCTTTTTTGGGTATTTTCATCAGACTTCCTTGTGACAACACAAGGAAACATGGGAGGTCAAACTGAAGAGTGAGAAAAAAATATTGGAGGACTGGAATTTAGATCTGGGCCACTTTCTGTGTGACTTTGACAGACACTTCACATTTCTGAGCCTCAACATCTTCATCTATAAAATGAAGAGGTTGCACCAAATGGAGGTATAAAGGAAGTAATTGCTTTCATCCTAAATCTTTTTTTTCTTTTTTTAGTTCTTTCATCTTTCGGCACTCAGTGAGACCTGACTCCCTGATAGTCACACTTCATCCCTCACCCCCCTTTCAGCCTAGGCTATGCTTTCATCCTGTCCCAGACGGCTATGGATCATGGGGGAGTGAGAATACTCCTCACCCCCTATTCCCTTCCAGACTTTCAATCTGCAATCTCAGCAACCCATCCTCCTTTGAGGGTCATTCAATCCAAATTTAGCAACCTTTTAAAAATCCCGTTGGTAAATTTGGTTTGTTGTAAACTGCCCTCAAGGAATTTACCATCTAAAGGCTGGGGGGAGGAGCGGGAGAGACAATATGCAAACAAATGTATACAAAGCAAGCTAAAATAAATAGGAAATAATTTGTAGAAGGAAGGCACTGGGATTAAAAGGGTTTGAGGAAGCTTTCCAGTAAAAGACGGACTTTTAGTTAGGATTTGGAAGAAGTCAGTAGGTGGAGTTGAGGAGGGAGAGTGTTCCAGGCTTGGGGGACGCTAGAGAAAACGACTGGAGCAGAGAGGTGGAGTGTCTTGTTCATGGAACAGCCAGGAGATCAGTGTCACTGGATTGAAGAGTATGTGTTGGGGACTAAGGTCTAAGAAGACTGGAAAAGTAGGAGGTGGCTAGGTTATGAAGGGTTCTGAATACCAAACAGAGCACTTCTTATTTGATCCTAGAGGCAATAGGGAGCTACTGGCATTTGTTAAGTAGGGGGTTGATATAGTTGGACATATGTTTTAGGAAAATAACTTTAGTGGCTGAATGCAGGATTCAGTGAAGTGGGGAGAGACTTGAGGCAGACAGATCCACCAGTAGGCTATTATAGATAGTGCAGGTATGAGGTGAGGAGAGCCTACACTAGAGTGGTGGCAGTGTCAGAGGAGAGAATGGGTCTTAGAGATGATGAAATCAACAGGCTTTGGCAACAGATTGGATATGGAGGGGAGGGAGGTAGGAGATAGGGAGGGATCCGGGATGACTCCTAGGTTATGAGCCTGAGGGATTGGAAGATGGTGTTGCCCTCTATAGTAATAGAGAAGGTAAGAGGGGAGAAGGATTTAGGAGGAAAGATAATGCGTTCTATTTTAGACATGTCGAGTTTAAGATGCCTACTGAACATCCAATTTGAGATGTTTGAAAGGCAGCTGGAGATGGGAGATTGGAGGTCAGTAGAGAATTTGGGGCAGAAGAGATAGATTTGAGAATCATCAGCATAGAGATAGTAATTAAATCCATGGGAGATGATGAGATCACCAAATAGAGTAGTATAAAGGGAGAAAAGAAGAGAGCTCAGGACTGAACCCTGAGGAACACTTAGGGTTAGAGAGCATGATCTAGAAGAGGATTCAGCAAAGGAGGCAAGAGAAAGAGAAATCAATCATATAGAAGGCGAATGAGGAGAGAGTGGTGTCCCAAAAACCTAGAGAGAAGAGAGAATCAAATAGGAGAAAGTGATCAACAGTGTCAAAAGGGTGATGAGTGAAAACCTGAGAGGCAGAGTTTCTGAGTAATTGACAATCAATTTATTAATTAGGCTAGCTAATAATCTATAAATTGATGACCACGGTTTCTCTCAGTAACCAAAGACCCCTAGTGAAGACCCTGAAAGCCTTAAATAACCCTTCTGAAAGGGAATTCCTCTGACAAGTGTAAGTCAACCCTAATTGGTGGACATTTAATGAGGAGGTGGGCTAAAAGTCTTCAGCTCCTCCTGCTGAGAATATGGCTTGATCAAGAGACTCAGCAGCCTCCAGCCATCTGGGCAGGGGAATCCATTTCCATCCCGACCTCTCTGGCTGGTTTTTTCCTTCACGGGCAGGGTCACCCTAAACTCTAATGGAAGGGAACAAGGACAGGGGTTCCTTCCCTCAGGATAAGGGTTCTCCCAGACTGGATTCTGTTTATACTCTGTCTAAACAAAAATTAGGAATCCTAGAATTGAGTATAGTATAAATAGACCAGATTTTTCCTATGATAGATATGAGTTCTCATAGGGAGAGAATTTTATCCGAATACTCAATGAAAAAAGCATAATCCATGTTTGTACTTTTAGATAAGGAAAATATATGTCTCTATATAATAAAACTCCACCTTGGAAAAAAAAAAAAGAAATTAGGTCTCCTAGTTGGGTGAGGTCCTGCTCAAGATTGACTAGCATGTTCCTTGAGGGGTAGGAGAATTCTCATAATCAGTCACGTCCTTCAGAGATAGACTGACCTTTTAAAGGAGCTGGGCCTTGAGGAAAAAAAATTGAAGGATCAAGGCCTGGATTGCAACTTAATAATTAGTTATTAATACAATAGTATTATAACAATTCCTCTCAAAGGCTATAAAGAGGTCAAGGAGAATGAAGACTGAGAAAAGGCCATGGATTTGGCAATGAAGAAGTCATCAATAACTCTGGAGGGAGCAGTTTCCATGGAATGATAAGGCTGGAAGTTGTATTATTGTAAGGGGTTGTGAAAAGTGAGAGGAAAGTAGAGGGACCTACTGAAGATGACTTTTTGAGGAGTTTAGGTACAATGGGCAGAAGAGATAGAGGATGATAATTAGGGGAGACGGAAAGATCAACGAAGGGATTTTTCAGGATGGGGAAGCCATGGGCATGTCTGTAGGCAATGGGGAGAGCCAGTAGACAGAGAAAGATTGAAAATAAGTGAAAGATGAGGGTAGACAGAAGAGACAGTGTGTTGAAGAAAACGAGATGGAATGAGATCCCTTAAAGAGTAGAAGGGTTAGCCTTGGTGAGGAGTAAGACTTATCATGTGAGATGGAAATGA